TAAATCAGAAAATCCCAAACTAATTAGGTGCACTAACACCGCAAAGAGGTTTGTTTGACCCACAGTGCCCCGCAAAGTCAAAGCGCAGTAATTGACTTCACAGTTTGTTTATTTTTTTGACAAAATTAGCTTCTGTAGCCTACTGTAAGGACACATTTCATTTAAGAGCGTTAACCCATCCTTACAGTTCAGCAATCTTCTTATTAATAGCATTGATATTTATGTCCTGCTGTTCAGTTCAGTATTTTTTATCCTTCTTTTTTTATTTGTTAGTGTTATGAACAGTTTTGCCTTTTCTGCACCGAACCTTAAAACAATGTTATTTCCTGTTCTTTATTGTTGCGTGCAGTCTCCCGCTTTCATTGTGGTAACTTCTGTAATTGGAAACGGATACAGATCACTAGTTTCCCTAACAAATAATGAAACACTAAATGTTTTCCTAAAAGCTATGAAAATGATATTCATTTTCGTAATGTTTTAAACTGGCAATAAAGCTAAAAATTAATAGAGCATAAACCTAATCCTAATAAAAGTACTCAACACTGATTTCTAAGAAAACTTTCACTTAAATTAAGATTAGAACAGAGTAACAAAATACATTTTATATTGGGATGTTAATCTTTTTTAATCACTGGCATTTAGATTAGTAACTGTAATAGTTTTACATAGTTTTTCTTGGTAACTGTAATTGATAAGTTACATGTATTTTAGATGTAATTATGTAACTCTGTTTCATGTAATTTGTTACTTTTTACAGCAACGCTTTTGTATGTGTATCCGTACAGTTAGTCCTCTGTTAGTCTATCTGGTTTAGACCTGAGTTAAAAATTGAAGCCAGTTGAGTCCCTTATCTTCCTGAAGTCAAACATGTGTAGCCACAGGTGAATCTGACTTAAAGCTGTCCATATTTATGAATGTGATAATGAATAGTTGCCTTGGGATGATAGAAACATTGAATGTGGAGAAGTGGGAATAGAAAATGGATGAGTGGAGGCTATTGACATGAAGGTGAGATGATGGAAAAAGTGAATATGGAAAAAAGCTTTGCAATGGAACCTACTGTGTCAATGTGACATGAACAGCCACTAGAGGGCTGTGTGGGCGATACTGAGCTCCTTTGGTAATAGGTAATACACTGTAGTATGTGTCACAAAAACACATGATTAACAACCAAATATACAGCATATTTAATCATTGTATGGATGACAAATGATGCTGATCTCTCCAAAGGAAATTACATGTGAACTTGGGAACGATTTTTGTTTTTTTATTTTGGCTGCAGGCTGGATTCGAACCCTGGCCTCTACGGTGAGTACTCACCATTAGAACAATAATTTTTAAACACTTTCCTTTGAACACTGCAAGCCAGGATAAAACCCCAAAAAGAAAAAAGAGAAGCCGAAAGAGAAAACATAAATTATACTTTTCATTTGAATCTCAAACAGTCCATTCATCCAGTGTATATCTTGTCTTACTCTCCTCTGAGGAAGGCACATGAAAGAGCCTCTGAAGTACAAGAATCCTTTAAGGTTGGGAAGTATTTTAATTCATGACAGAGCAGGAAATTAGCGGGGGGTTTTGACTTTAACGCTCATGGGAGCAGGCCTGGCAGGTTAATAGTTGCTTACCACTTATCCCACACTTTACATTTTGCATTGATCCAACATGAGTATTACTGTAATTGTAAAACATGGAGGATTTATAAGTGCAGCAGAAGATGTGTCATCTAACAACTGATGGCAATTTTCATTCATTAGAAGTATGAAAAGGAAATCCCTCCAGACAGTGGCAGAAAAAGCAGGAAGTGGTGAGTGAACAAGATGACAGTACTGCCCTCTAGTGTACAAACATTGAATGCTTCCTCCTGGTACTGATTCACTAACTGCAGTAAGCTGTAATAAAAACTAACTGTGATGTTACCACCCAGTTGCAGTGTTTTTAAAGCTACATTTGCAAACTGGTGGTTAAAACTAGCAACTTGTTGGGACCTGGTTGTCTAGTCCAGCTGGCATTCATCATTACAATAATAATTTGCAATTAATGAGTGTCGCTAACTAGAATCATAAACATTGTTTGTTGTCTCATACCAGATGGTCAGACTTAGATGCTGCTCTCACCGTTTTTCTTCTGCTGTTTGGAGGTATATCAATTAAGAACTCAGATTCCAGTTTTATCAGCTGCTATGTCTCTCTGGTTTATGTGGTTGCCATGGTCACACGACAAGCCGCAGCTGGAGGTCGCAGCTAACTGTTAGGAGGCCTATATTGAGGATTTTTCAAACAAAAGACAGGGCGTAGGATTTCACACAAAGTCAATTCAACATTGTTTCAAGAATACTAAGGTTTCAAGCTGCACTGTTCATCTGCTACATATTCTTCCTATCATTATTGCTTCCAAGGCAAGTAAGAAAACAAATTCTGTTGATCTGGCAAAACCTTTTTTTTTACCTGTTCTTCAGTGATAAACAAAGGAAATAAAAGTGTTTAGATCAAATTTAGAAAATGGATCACCAGAAGAAAAATGCTTCTTACTGGCCTCTCAGGGCTTCCGTACAGCTCAGATCGAGAGCTTGGTGTTTGTATGTTTATAGATCGTCCAAAAAAAACAACATCTGAATTCTACACTAAATTATATTTAGTAGGCTATACTAGTTTACATGCGAACAGCACATCCAGATGCCAAAAACACTGTAGTTCCATTGTTTTGTCTCTCCTTTGATAGAATCTATAAAACCTAACAAAAAAACAATCTTAAAAAGTGACAGATTATGCTTATGGTAGTACTCTTGAAATGCACTTTGTAAGTATATTTAATGAGTTTTACATGCAGCTTTTTATGTCAGAAACAAAAGAAACAGAGATTGAATTCCCTTTTTCTTATTTTTTTTATTGTTTGTTGTCCTTCTTGTTTTTTTTTTTTACATTACCATCCATGGGATTTTACTCTTTTTCCATACTGAGCAAGCATCCCAGAAACCCCACAGCCACCAAGACAAATACCGTCACACAGTTTCACTTTCACAAGGGGTGGGGTGGGGGGCTTACAGAGGGGGGCGAGGGGGTTTGGGGGCAAGAAGGTGTTCAACAGCATCAACAAAGGAAGCTCCTCTCAGCCTGCAGCACGTTGCGTACATACATATCACTCGTATACAATTAGCATAATATGGCATAGAAAAGCATTCCAGCCGACAGAGCGTTAAAAGGGGTATAAGTGTGTGTTTTAGTGTGTGTACGTTTGGGGAGGCATGGGACACGGGGAGGGGGTGCCGGTGTTGACGGATGTTTTTGTTTTTTAAGTCAATTCTCCAGGCAAGGGTGCTGCATCACAGCAACTGATGTTTAGTGGTGAGTTGGTGTGTGTTTCGTCTACAGTCTGTAGTGCTTTTATTTCTAACTGATTCCTTTTTAAGCCACAGGGGATTCCAAGCAACTCGGCACAGGATTATGTCGAAACGGTGCAGAACGGTCACAGAATAATAATAAAAACCTGGGTGTGTGTGTTTGTGTGTGTGTGGGCGCAAAGCTGTTTCTAATAGCGCCAGGTCAGCACTGGTTGCGAATGGCAACCTCCGATCTGACAAGCGTTGCCATGACAAACAAAAAAGCAGAACCCTGCAGGAGTGGAGGGGTCTGTCGCCCCGGCAACAGCCAGAAACATTAAAATAGCCAAAAAGGGGAGGGAAGCGGGGAGGGAGGAAGACGGCTAAAGACAAACTGAAAGGAAGGAGTGACGCGGAAAATACAAAAATACAAGCAGCATGCTATAACTCTCTCAAGAGCTACGTTTGCTGCCAGATTGTATTTGTGTGCTGGACTTCGCCTCCTAAATCTCCACCCACATACTCTCCCGCCTAAAGCAGCAGAGAGAAATACAGTGTAGATTAATATGAAAGTCGCTGGTCGGGGTCAAATTCCCCACTCCTGACTGACAAACACCTTGTTGTGTGATGAGTAAGTTGCCGTGGAAATGAAGTTTCCATTTCCCATTCCTATCTTGTCACATATTTGAATGCTTTCATTCCCCCTGCTGTGGATTCTTTAAATACATATACACCATGCGTAACACTGAAAGACTTTGTCTTCTATACGTTTCCAGTTAGATCAGAGGGAAAGTTTAAAAAGTGTGTATGAAAGCACAGACAGACGTGGTGTATATCTAGCCTACAGTATGCATGTGTGTGAGTCAGGGTTCAGTAAAGCAAACGCAAGCTCTTATGTGCTGCTATAGCGACAAGAAGCTCTTCACCACCCTGTTGACTAAAATGAAGTCTGTGTTAGTAGTACTGTATACATACAGAGTTAAAGTAACTGGGGCCTCATTACAGAAAAAATATCCTAGCTGCTTGTCCTATCTTAAGTAAGTTTCAAACATATAATTTTATCTTACTATCACAGAAGGAAAAGCTTAATTCATGGCCATGTCCCATATTTTTTCAGATCTAATATCTTGTCTTAAGAAATCCTAATACCTGTACATTGGATTCTGCCTGAATCTTTGATTAAAATGTACTCAAGACGGACCAGCCACAATATCAACTGCTCTCACTTGTCATCGGCTAGCTAGCTCTTGCTCTATCAGCACTGTCATCAGCTAGCTAGGGAGAGCTAGCTAGCGTGCTATCATGGAGGGAAAAAAGAGACACGTGTTCTTAAATAAGTGTCATCATATGGTTGGAGTGGCCTTTCATGTATCATATTTGATCCGTTCCCTGCTTTCATTGTCATTTAAATGTAGGACAGAGTATATGCCATCCTAACTTAGTAGGCTATAATTCTGTTAAAAGTAAATACTACAATTCAGGTTTTTATTTGTAATCCCTATAAATAGTTAGGAAACATGTTTCTTGCATGTCATCCTAAACCGAGATGAGATTCTGTAAAGAGGCCCCTGATCCTTTTGTGAGCTTGTTACTCCGTGTTGAGTCATGGGGGGAAAAAAGCCTGCAGAGAGAAGGTGACTGGTGGCCAAGACCTCGTTGACACAAGAACTAACACAGGAAATCAGTTGCTTGGCTTAATGAAAACCAGATCACGTAAAAAATAAAACGTCAAGTCCACAACAGTAAGCAGTGCTTTACATGAGCCTGCTGTGCGTGTCCCATTCCTCACACATTAACACTGCACAAAAGTACATTAGCTCATGTCTACTTTCAAGCATAAATCAATAGTGCTCAGCCCTTAGGCACCTAGTTACAGAATGACACTAAAAAGCAGTTTGACAACAAGTTAAAAACTCTAAAACATTTCAAGATATCGAGCATTTTTCGACTTTTCAGGGGCTCTACCGGTAGGATAGGCCCTATGAAAGCACAAACTCTGGCACCCTTGAATCGGTTTATCCTGGCTATTTTACCAGGATTATCAGTACAACTTCTGTGGGTTCAGGCACATAAAGAGTAGAAAAGAAAAAGGGATTTGGATGAGTATAAAACAGTCACATTTGGAGGAGGAGAAACATTCTGTATGTAAATGCACTGGTTGGTGATGGGACAGTTAACGGCTGACTGACAGCTGTCTATCAAAACCGTTATAATTACAGGAAACAAACTGGGGAATTTGTAGCAGTGAATGGCACCTTTCCCGCACCTCTAAGAGTTATCTAATAGGACGGCATTAAGAGACAATAAGGCAAGGAAAGGTTTGAAGTGACAGCGAATACAACTTTCTCTTTCCTCCCTAAATCTTTCCTACAATTCTCCCACTTAACAATGGCCTAACGCTTAAAAAAAACGAGGCATAAAGCTCTATTTACTACCTGCAAAAGCTCCTTCTCCTAACACTCACAAGCTCTAAGGCAGCTGCCAAATACGGAATATGGTTTTTTACTTATTTAGCTTAGCAAAAGGGAAACATGAGATGAGAGCCAGTGCAGCCAGAGTCTATAACCCAAATAAAAGATTTGTTTAACCTCAAGGCCGACCTCATGGTTAATAATCAATTGGAAATGGATCGCAGCAGTGTGTGATGGATGGCGGTGCACTGGAAAGGGAAGCAATTCAAACGCAACACAGTACAAATCACAGATACTCTGTTCTTGCCTCCTGAATAAACTGTAAGACTATTTCAATCATCCAGCTTGGCCTATTCAAGGAAAGATAATCTAGTTTTGTACAAATGCTCCATTTAAACTACTCCCCAAATGAAAAGAAACACAATGGACATCCTGCATGAAAATGTTCCTCTTCTCATAATTCAGTCCCACTTGACCCCCTAATAAAACAACAAAAAAAACATTAAAAGAATACAATGGCAGGGAAAAAAGTACGGTATAAAAAAACGAAATAATGCAGTCAAAAGTGCTCAAATAAGGAGTATTTCATTTTTTCATCATATGAGGCAGACATTTTTTTTCTTCTTTTTTTTTCTAACTGTGTCCTCTAGGATCCGGTTTTGGGGAGGGGGAGGAGGGTACGTGGTAAAGGAGGAGGGGAAAGATGGAGGCTGACGGATGGACCGGTGCTGGGAAGGGTTTGGTTCCCGGTGTCGTGATTTTTCTCGACCCCTCAGCTCCTGTCGGCCGACCCGTCCTCCGGTCTTTGTTTCCTCCTAAGTGGCCGAGGGCAGACCCCTAACCCAGGCTGGTGATGTTGGCCCTGCCGCCAGGGGGGGCCAAGGTGCGCTGGGTGTTCCGGCGAGGAATGTTGTCGTCCATCTGAGCGCCTGTGAGATCAAGAGGAAAGATGGGTATTCAAAGTTGTGTTTTCACTTGGTTGTTTAAAGGTCTCCTATTATACTGTTTTTCATCGATATATTATAGGTCTCGGATATATACAAAACATGTCTCTGAAGTGTTTGGCTCGAAATACCAAACAGATCACCCGTTGTAGCATCCCATAATCCCCTCTGTTTCAGCCCTGTTTCAAAAGTGCTGATTCTCTGTCTGTTACTTCAGATAAAAATAAGGAGCCACTCCCCACGCCCCTCTGAGAGATATTTGGTTAAAAAGAACACAATGGTGCTCTAGGAGGAGATTCAGGTGATAAGGGGGGGGGGGGGGGGGGTTACCTTGGTTGGTGATTGGCTAATACAAGCCAACAAATCGTTATGACATCATAAAGTGGCCAAAATCTGATCGGCTCATTTTCAGACAGGTTTTTATATAAATGGATCAGGACAAAAAGAGTGAGAATCTTTTTTCCTGAACGTTTATACATGTTGATGTATAAACGACATGAAAAAGTGGACTTAGCAAAATTGTATGTGGGGAATTCCATACATTTTACAACTGGTTCACTGGACTTGGTCAAACCTACGGAAGCCCTAAGGGGCATGTACGGAAGAAAATAAATAGCATCTCTTTTTTGTTATTTATTTTCTCCAGGATAACCTTCTCAAGTGTTTTTATTTAATTCTATGAAGTAAGGTAGTAATGTGCTTTTTCAGGTGATCTTTTTTTGTCAGGATCACTTTTAGAGCAATCATAACCCGTTTACTTACATTAATTAATTTCTCCATACACCTTTAATAATAGGTCATATTTACCTGCATGTATACATGTAACAAAGTTTAATATAAACCTAAGACCTACAGAATTTAAAACATGGTGTGTATATTTTTTTGCATCTGTTTTTTAACTCAAAAAAAGGAGAGAAAAATGATTTAGGTCAGACATAGAATAAGGATCAGGGATATCATAAAGTGGCGGGAAAATGTATTCCATGCATTGATTCACTTCTGCACTGTGTTTAACTAAACTAATGTAAAGTCTATCAGAAATCAGTACTTTTTTTTATCCTGCGAGAAACTTGCTTTTGTGACAGTTGCTACAATTATATGAAATTGAATAAATATTGTTCAAACTAAAATGCGCATATTTAATTACAACATATAACATGTATTTTACAATATACACTGGTGTTTGAGTACTAATAAGATATCATTGCTGAATTGCACGGCCAAGCAGGCAGGGTCAGGGGAAAAAGTGATGCAAATTAGCTGGAGGTCAATAATGTGATTACAGAGTTTACCTTAGTTGAACTCTTTATGGATTTCATGTAACCATGCCATGAGAGAATCCAATGCAGTGACACGGCTCAGATGGATTGGATTTGGTTCAATGTTCTCTCTCCTGAATGCTGGTGTGGTGGAACGCTTTACGTTTCCATGTGCCAATAGATGCTGAATGGTGTCCTTAGCTCACTTCATAGATGTTCATGGTAACAATAAGCAGTGTTAAGGAATAATTCTTCTAGATATCTAACCTTTTGCTCTGTGACGTTTTATGATCTACTCTGACGTCTGTTATCTCCTTTAAGGAAAGGCATTGGTGCCATATGTGTTGTTGTCACCAGTTTGTGACCGGTCAACTTGTCTGGCACGAATGGTAATTGTTGTGAGAACGCTGAGGCACTTCTTTATCGGTGTTTGTGGACTCTTAAGGTGTGAAATCTTTGAGGCCATAAGTGTCGGACGCAAGTGATTCAGTGTTCCCAGCTGTTTAGTCTACTCCTTCAGAGATGTTGATTTCTCTCTGTGAACCAGTTAAAAGGTCTAGCATAGAGAGAGGCTCTTCAGAATTGACGTGGCAACTCTCCCGTGTAGTCAGAACCTCTGACTCTTTGATTTGTGATGTGAATCCTCCGGCCGATACTCTGAATAAACCCATCAGTGTTTGACATCAAAAGCTCCAACTCTCACCGTGTCTCCTTCCTGAGTCGGTGACTCCCACTGCATTGATACACAGAAGTTTCCCCCACACTAATAAGATATGATTGCTGAATTGCACGGCCAAGCAGGCAGGGTCAGGGGAAAAAGTGATGCAAATTAGCTGGAGGTCAATAATGTGATTACAGAGTTTACCTTAGTTGAACTCTTAATGGATTTCATGTAACCATGCCATGAGAGAATCCAATGCAGTGACACGGCTCAGATGGATTGGATTTGGTTCAATGTTCTCTCTCCTGAATGCTGGTGTGGTGGAACGCTTTACGTTTCCATGTGCAAACAATAGATGCTGAATGGTGTCCTTAGCTCACTTCATAGATGTTCATGGCAACAATAAGCAGCACTATTCAATGGTACAGAAGTGCACTTTCTCTAATGCTGGGGATGTCATGCTGTGTAGTGTAATCATTTTACGACTGTAGGTAGATGAGTGCAAAATAGAAGTTTGTTATTCCCTTTTGTCTTTTCAATTGAACCAACACAACAGACATTAATTGCAAACTGTGGTTAATTAGCCATGTATTTAAAGAGTTTAAAGCAAAAAGCCAAAAACTATTTTTGTCGGTGTAATAAGGACATTGTAAGTAACCAGAGCCAGGGGAGGGGGGGTTATATTATAAGCAAATAACTTAGAATATTCAAGATAAGAGTTAGTTTTTATTAAGAAAAATTATGTAGATCAAAGTGGTAGATTGATGGGGGAAACAAAAAAAATCATACATTCACAATAAATTACAGTAGCTGATCAGAACTGACCGGAGAGGCTGAACCCAGACTGGTGCAGGTTACGGACGGGCTGGTTGGGCTGCTTGGCCGGCGAGTTCTTTGCGGAGGAGGCAGGGGTCATGGTTTTGGGGGTGACGGACACCTCGCAGACTGGGCCATCATACAGACCTCTGGGTACACCCCTCAGCTCAGCAAGCTGGATGCAAAAAAGGACACAACATTCATGGCAGTGAGAATAAACAAGAAATATCTCTAAAAAGCTGCTTCATCCCCCAAAGTCCTAAAAATGATTAATCCTTAGAAATGGCTGGGTGTGGAGCTTTGCCTCCTATCTAAATATAGTTTATGTTAGAGGAAACTAGAGTACGGTACCCTGCTGCGAGCCTTTATCCTCTTGTAGACGTAGTCGGGGAAAGGCTTGCGGGCCACGAAGCGCCCCGAGCCCTCGATGGTGTGGAGGTTCCCTTCCTCCAACACGATCTTCCCCTGGCTGATCACCACCAGAGGCCCGCCGCGCACCTCCGTGCCCTCAAAGATGTTGTACTCCACAGTCTGCAGAGGAGGGAGAAGATAGATAAAGTGTGCGAAAATGAAGTGTGAACATCTCAATATAACTTCTTCTAACACATTTCATAGACAAAGACAGTACAGTACATAATGAATCCACTATCCTTGACATTAGTTTTTGATGAAAGTGGGTAAATTCAGTTTGTGTGGGTTTGTTGTTATCTCAAGTACGCCTTTAAGATTTCAGTCTCCAAATGATAACTGGATGCTGGGTTCACGTGGTGCTGGAATAATCGGAAAAATTAGTTCCAGTCTGGGAAATTGCACATGTATCCCCCTAAAGTTGGAACAATAACTCGAAAAGTAATATGGTATTAGGTTGTAAGTTATCCAAAAAAGTAAAAAGATAGTATTGGCAATAACCCCGTTACAAGTAACGCAATCTTCTATTGAATTTAGGTAAATTATTTTTATCCCAGCTGCTTGTACTTCAAACTACTAATGAAGATAAATCCTCACAGAAACACATTTAAAGCTGACTCATCTCCAGCTGATTTCCCACCATCATCATAAAGATTTAACATCGGGTTGTATCTGGGAAAGTTGCCGCTTTCATTCACAGCTTTATCCAAAAATCTCCCTCAGACTTCCTCTGGAAACTTGCCACAGAAATATTGATGCACTTTCCAGCCTGTGTGTTCACAGATGATGCACGCCACCTTACAGAATTGGCAGAATGTCGATGGATTACAGTGCACTTGTGAAAAGAGCTTAACTGATTTAACTCGAACAGAGATGAAAGCGATTCGCTGGGCAAAAAAAGAAAGCCTGATGTGGTAAACAGACCTCAGTTCTCAGGCCAAAGGAGGAAGAGGAAAGAGATGAAGGAGAGGGTCCTGTGAGGGGTTTGGCTGTTTGGGTGTGTGTGGACAGGGAGGGAGGGGAGGTTGCTGTGTGACGAATTTGGACGCTGTATGAATGCTCTTTCCTAAAAGCTACTGGAGCTGAGGTCATGGCAAGCTGGTGGAGTCTGAAATGAGATCACCAGAAGGCTGGGCTATCCTGTGACACACACACACACACACAGACACACACACTTAAAATGAGCAGTTTCTCCCTTGAACATTGGTCATTTTTCTGACCAAGAGGAATCAAAAGAAACTAAAGAACATGGGCTTAAGCAAACGGAGTCCGAGGACATACACAGTAATAGTCTCTGTGTCTCACACACGCACACACACACACACACACACACACACACAAATCCGCCTGCTAACAATCAGAAGCGATGTGTTCAAGTTCCCTGGCAGATTTTAAGGATGACATCACTCCCTTGACGCTGTGTGAGGCCCACACCCTGTTCAATGGTCAGACGTGGATACAACCAAAAGTGCAAAAATAAATCAGTGGCTCTGACGGTCATGAATAATATTAGCTGGATTCTAATAATCAATCAGATATTTTAAAAAAGTATTTATTTTGAAACTAAATAAATGTTTTTGCACGAATCTAGGATGTATATCATTGACAATCACTAACCTGCTTGGTATTTTTTAAACTTTTGGAGTTACGTTTCCATCAAAAGTATTCATATATTTATTGCACCTTGTGGACAAGTCAAAACTAGTTGCATTATTTTCAGCTACTCACTCATTTGTAGGGCCATTGCTGCCTGAATGTAAAACACCAGTAACTTGAGAAGCATTTCAAAGAATCCACTATTTTGAGAATGTCAAAATGTCTGACTCGGGATTTATCAAAAAAAGCCCTGTGGGCAGAAACCGCATAACAAACACACATGTGGCTTCAATATTTGACGTCAGGTAGCCTCAGCATTTGTAAATATTATTAGTTATGAAACTCTGAGAGGCTGGTACCGAGTTGTGGCTCTTGGCGGAGATGATCTTGGTGACGTCGGGGTCCCACAGCACCAGGTCGGCGTCTGAGCCCACGGCGATGCGGCCCTTGCGGGGGTACATGTTGAAGATCTTGGCTGCATTGGTGCTGGTCACCGACACAAACTGGTTCTCGTCCATCTTACCCGTCACCTGGAATCAATCAGAACTGGGAGTGAGAACAGAATAGGAACCACTGTCCCACTTTCATTTAGTCCTGTCAGATCTGATCTACTCCGTGCCATAACTATTTCCACATGTTTATTCAATCATTCTTGCTCAGTACGGACTTTTATGTTCAACAGTTACAGTCATTTGCTTATGTGTGTTATGATGGATATGCATTTTTTTGTGTGCATGGTTGTTGCGATGTTTTCCCCTCTTGCCTGTGTCATGCTGCCGGTGCATGTGTGTTGTCAAATTGCTCTACTGTTAGCATTTAATAAAGGCGAAATGCTAATGAGTTAGACAACATGCAAATGTGAATAGCATGACTAAAACAGACATATCTTTCTGGTTATTTTAAATCCAATCATTTGATTTTGCAAAAGATGAACTATTTGATTGGTTTGATATTGTTGTTACATATATGGTATGGTATCTATATGTCTTGCTCCTTTTTTGCATATTTTTTACAAGAAGATTAGGCAACACAAATATTTTTGTTATACTATTTTGTAGAATTACATTTCAGAGATGCTGGGTGAAATTTGTTACAGACGATGCAGACATTTCTTAAAATTTCAGAGCCCTTTAAAGTCTAAAAATCAACATTTAATGAAAATTCACAACATGCATTTGAAAAACCAGATAGACTGCTTGAACCAATATTTGTTGTTGTTTAGCCTTTCAAAAACAATATTGTTTAGTGTGGTCTGCTTTCATGCTTGCTGCTTAAAAAGGGAGGCAATGATGACTTGTAAGAATGAAAGAAAGCTGATTTTAAAGAAAGCTGAATAAAAAAAAACTGATTTGATTGGATGATTACCTTTATTTAAATTGAGGATTTTGTTCAACAATTGTGATGACATGATAAAATATGACAGCAAATGTTCAAAGCTTGATTCAAAAACCTCAATAAAAGCTTCAGATATGTTTTGAACAGCATTCGAAACAGCCCTACTATGGGCTTCATTAAAAAAAAATAGTATAAAAATACGTACCACACACTTGTCCCAGATGATAGACATCCTCTCCTCAGTACCATTGACGCCTTCAGGGATCAAGCTGAAGTCATCTTTGCCCACGGCACGCTGGGCCGTGTTAAAGGGACAGTGCGCACTTCCTGTCACCTGCAGGTCACCACTGAAAGAGAAAGTGAAGTTGTCACACAAAGTCCAATTTGTCATTAGGATATTTCTCCCTGTTTGGATCCTCCCTCACCAGGACAGCAGGGAGTTGAGATAGTCTGGTGTGGTGGGGTCGGGGCTCAGGGGGGGGGGAGGTGACGAAGGCCGCTGCCTTGGCCCAGTTCTTGCTCCAGTAGTGAGAGCCATCTGTTCCCAGGCTCGCAGTGATTGGCTCTCCGTAGACCACAGTGCCTGCAATAACAATCCCACATTTAACACCAGTTACTACACTCCTAAAATGTGTGAGTGTCTGTTTTGATGTCTCTGTTTGGCAGAATACACTTGAATTTTAAGTTATTTTAGGAGTTCCTAGTCCAAAACCTAAGATTGAATAGTGGAAACCCACAAATGAAGTGTTTATGTCAGTGTTAGTGGGGTAGATTGAGGATTTGTTTTAGGGCTCATCTCTTTGGTTTCTAGTTTTGGAAAAGAGACATTAATAGGCTATTTTGATTTTGATTATTAGGTATGGTTGTTTGAGACACCCATGCCATGGGTATGGAACCAAAATACACATTAAAAAAACAAAATACACGTTAAAAAAATGCATCTTATACGTTTTTCTTACATGAACTTTTCTTAATTTAGCATACCAAATGTGAAATCAATATATTTAGGTGACTTTCTTTTCGACTATAACACAAACAAGGTAGGTATCTTCTGAAATCTGATCTATCCCATTTAAATGGTGACATATTGCAGGAAATGATGGATTTGTGTATTTTGAGTCTCACCCTTCTTCCTGGCCTGGGCGATGACATCAGCAGCGCTCTTGCTCATCACCTTGGTAATGTAGAGAGGGCAGTTGGTCTGATTGGCCACCGTCACAGAGCGGTTCACAGCCTCCGCCTCCACCTGCACAAGAGAGGGGACAACAGAAAGTGGAGGGATGATATTAGTTTGATATTCCACTTCTACATACTTTTTTATTCAATACTGACCACCACATCTCCATCATTTCCCTACAAATATAACCTCCACAGCTCTTACGGTTTCCCCAGTCCTATGGAAAATTCATCAATTCCAACTTTAAAACATTCGGGGTGTTTTTTTGTATAAACAATACTTCCGACTTTCTTAGGAATTAAACACAAGACCAATACACAGATAAAGTGTCGATCAAAGTGAGTTGAAAAACTGGCTAACATGAACTTCGTAAACAGCCTTTGGACAACATTCTTAAGAAAGTAGATCCAGAATTATGTTGAAAATGTAATCGTTTTGTGTAGACATTAGCTATTTGCCGAGAGATTAAAAAGAAAGAAAATGAATACCACTCATCTGTACACCATTTATGAAACAGCTGGTTAGCCTAGCCTAGCTTAACGACTGAAAACAGCTAAAGGAAGGGACTGAGAGTTCATCATTTGTCCGCACTTTGTTCTTTGTATGTACTGATAAAGAGGGGATAATATGCTATGTAGTCCATTGAGCTTTGGACAGAGTCATGCTAGCTGTCTCCCCCCAAATCCAATCTTTGTGCTAAGCTAAGCTAACCAGCTCCAGACAGGATCTTTATATTCATGGTAATGACACGGCAAGAAAGCGAAGAAAGCTATTTTCTAAAATGTTCACTCAAGTGTGTTGATGCTTTAAAATCAGATTTTCATCCATAGCAACAAAAACAAGGTAAAACACTTAAGAGAATCCTGGCAATTTATTTTGACAAGTGAGATGGCAGGATGGTGATATTTCTGTGACACACTAACAAAGTGTTCCAAGAAGTAAGAACACACTCTCTTCTTTTGGATACTGTTTTACATATTTTTGGTTGTCTTTTTTTGCCCAACCACCAACGTTGCTAATAACACTATTATTAAATCCGTAAAATAACAGCTTGGATTACAATCAAGATTTGATTAACCTAAGCACGAATGGCTCAGTCATGGCAACTTCCTGTAGGGTGGTGAGAAACCCTTTATTACTTTACCTTACTTAAGTGAAAGCATGTTATAGCCACAGAGGAAAATATATGCAATTTATTTTATTTGAAGAAAACCTTCCTTTAGAAGAAGACGGACAGTTCAATCATTAAACCCAGCTACCATACTACTTTGTTCCACCGTCTGAATGTTCATGGGTAACAACCATGATTCATGTGCTCCCAACAGGAATTTTCAAGTTAAATATATGGAGGTGGATCTGAAGCGGATGTTTAAGTATTTGCCAAGGCAGCGAGAAACCCATGCGTCAGTGTAAAACTGTCAAACAACGTAAGGCCAACAGCTGGGAAGCTTGGAGAGGTCAAAAACCCTGGCTCAAGAGATTAATTGATTTCTCACTTCCCAAAGTCACACCAGATTGAGGTGGTCAGTGTCCACAGAGCTGAACCTGTCTTACCTCCTCAGGGCGGCTCAGCACGTGTCCCTCAGGCCCAGTGATCCCCTGCTCCAGGATCTTCTGCTGCTCCTAAACACAAACAAACAAATCAGCCTGGAAACGGGAGATATTGAGTCCTGTCAATGTGCATGCATCGACACTTAAAGCCTAAGACTTCATTGGTTGACTTAATGCCATGATGTATTCATGTCTAGATCAATTCCTCAGGAAGTGAGAAGGCGCTGAAGTAATTTTTTCATAATCGCCAAATGGTGGTGCTACCGCTGTGTTAGTCACATGACGTCAGAGGGCCCAAAAATACTTTTCCCCCCATTGACTAACATTGGGAAAGAGACGTCTGTAAATGAGCAGATAACTTGTTCGCAGCTAATCCAACTACCCAGTTCAACACTTGAATAGCCCTTAGGGTTAGGTCCTTGTGAGATGTGAAATGCACTGAAAGTAGAATCAAGACTTATTTGTCCTCTTTATTCATTTAACTACAGCTGAGACCAGAAGTGTTGTAACGAAGTCAACTAGAGCTTAAAGAAAATGGGTCCAAATCAAGGTAGTTGAGAGTCAGAGCACTTTGGCTTATTGTGCCACTGAGTAACTTTAACAGAAATGAACAGGGCCCCGCCTTCAACACTTAATCCAGTTCTCTTAATACATCCTGGGTCCAGATCCCGGCTCTTATGAAGTGAAATGTCGTACCTCAGCTACAATGTCTCCATTCTCAGCGTGCACCTGGGCGATGGCTCCCAGATCTCGGATCACACTGAACACCTCGTACACCTGCAGCGAAGAGAGGGAGACGCACTTATGATCTGATGCATGAAAGCAACTTGTGGTTGTCAACACACATTTATACAGTCTTCTCTCTACAGTATGTCATCTAGGAGTTTCAAATAGCAACAAGCCAATATCATTCATGAAAAGTGAAACACTGACAGATTACATATTCTTAAAAAGGGACGCCTTTATTTGGAACTTCCCACGGCACATATGTTTCACCATTTCTGTCTAAGCTCATCCTAGGCATTGATTGACTAGTTGGTGTAGAGAAAGCATATCATATCTTTGTTTCTTTCAAATAACATTTCTATCAGTGTGTTTTCTAAAGAATAAATACAGAATATATTTGTCTTCTTTTAGTGCTGAAGGGGTCTTTGAAAAAACACTTTTCATCTGTTAAACAGGGTTCTGACAATGTTTTTATTTTTGTTCTTGTCAGTATGATTGTCAAAGTGCTTTTCAAGTCATATACACAGGAGAGAAACATATTTGGATTAAACTTAGAAAAGGGGTTCAGAGGAAAGATAAAGTCTCACTTGCTTCCCAAAGCTTCGATAGAGTTCTGACAGTTTTTCTTTTTCTGTTGTTGTGTATTCCTATTTTTAGCCATGTTTGGGATGCCGATGCGAGTCTGACACTTGAGGTTTCGAGGGAAAGTATGCGTTTATGGTGAAACGGAAATTCGACACTGATTTCTGCAAAGTATGTTTCTCTCTCTCTCTCTCTGATTGTTTATCAAACCCTGCGATAACTTCAGGGACCGTAGGGAAACTGACGAGTTGAGTGAGTCATCCCCTCCTGACTGCAAGACGCTTAACAATAAAGAGTTGCCAGAGTTTGACGCGAGAAAGTAAAAATGATAATCTCTTTTCTCCTCACACAGGTGCAAAAAGAGCGACACAGATCTGTTTCAAAACACATTCACGCATGGACTCATTAGTTTTGCACCATGAGTCAGAAAGAGACTTGGACAGAGATGTATTTTTTATTATCCATTCACTCTCCCTGGAGAAACACACACACACACACACAGTCGGTAGGAAATGAAGAGCCAAAATCAAGGCTAATCTCTACATCTGCTTTTTTGACTCATTCCAACAAGACAACATCCCAACAGACTGACTGAAAACATATTTAAAAAAGATGGTTTGTTCTTCCTGTAATTATTCTGAATGACAGCAACAGTAAACAAGTTATGATTTAGTTGTTTTCTGGATAATGCAAAAATGCTTCTACAGTAAACGGCACTATCTTTGATTGTGGATTGTGCGCTGTCACTTTCCATATGTCATGTTACAATGAGGTCCATTATACTGACTAGAAATTAATATGGATCATATTTGTCTTCAAGTGCCGCAGAAGAAAGTCCCATGTTAAAGTCTCAGTTTAATTAGATTAAGTGTAGGCAAAACAGTGTCAATGTGAACAAGCCACAACACGCCCCCAACTTTACTTAAAATCGATAACATTGTATTCGATTTATATTTGACCTTTAGTGTAGCATTATTCATATCTAAAAGCCCTGCAGAGAAAATGCATTTAAAGTCTTCTGTTTGTGACAATGAAAAGAGGAGAGGTCCCTACCTGAGAGTCAGATAGCTGGAAAACGTCCTTATAAGCCAGGTAGACCAGAAAAGAGTTGACACCTACAGACACAGGACATCAGTGTGAAAACCACGAAAGGGAAGATAAAAGCAGAAAATATATAAAGTGTGAAAGTGTTCGAAGAGTACCGTGGTCCTTCACGAGCGTCTCCATGTCCTCCTGGATGCCCTTGTGCCACTCGGTGATATCGACGTGCAGCGAGTAGTCGCAGCAGGACTTGCTGTCGGCCCATTCGCGCCACTGCTCGAAGGCCGAGAGGAGGCTGACGCCGGTCTCAGGAAGCACGTGGTCAACTGGACACACACACAAACACAGACATTGATTGAGCCAAACAGATCATTGCAGCATCCCATAATCCCCTCTAGTTCAGCCCTGTTTCAAAAGTGCTGATTCTGTGTCTGTTACTTTAGATGAAAATAAGGAGCCCCTCCCCACGCCCCTCTGAGAGATATTTGGTTAAAAAGAACACACTGGTGCTCTCGGAGGAGATTCAGGTGATACGGCGGGGTGGTTGGTGATTGGCTAATGGTTACACAAGCCCAAAAATCGTTATGACATCATAAAGTGGCCAAAATCTGATCAGCTCATTTTCAGACAGGTTTTTATAGAAATGGATCAGGACAAAAAGAGAGGGGGTCTTTGTTCCTGAAACTTTCAGAATCTCTTTACACAGAGGGGACACATGTTGATGTAGAAAAGACATGAAAACGTGGATTTTGCATAATAGGTGACCTTTAAGAAATGTAATCCTTAAGTGTTGTTAGCCTTATTAGACATCTGTTTTAAAGTTTCGGACAGTGTTTTATACCACTGCAAGATAAGGGTCCGTGGGAAGAAACACAAACTGACCTGGGGTTATAAGGTCACCTCTTGCAGATCCCCTTCAGTATAAACATCTTGTGTCTTGTGTGTCTCAGTGTTTTATGGCGGGTATCTGGTCCATGGTTTTACGACATGTATGTGTTAGAAAATCGCTCTCTTGTAACTCTTTAAAAAGCTGTATGTTACTCACCAGTGGAGAACTAAACTAACATTATGTTCATGTGTGCATATACTGCTCACTAATCACTCTCCAGACAGCAACTGATTTTAGGTTGCAATGACACTTCGAACCAAACAGAGACAAATTAAAGTTGACACCTGATGGTCAGATATGTTCCAGATTATTCTCAAATTACCCTTGATATTAATCCTCGAGGATTACCAGATCCATGACTCCTGTCATTACAAACCATCATCTGCTCCATCTGCTCATGGTTTCCACCACACAGAGAAGAACTATATGATCTCAAGATGCTATTTTTGAAGAAGCTACTTTTCAGTGAATGTAATGGCTCCCATCTGCTGATGTGTGTTCCTTCAGTAGGCCTAAAAACGATGTGCTTTTCTACATTGGGGACACAAATCCTGAATATTTTTACCCAATTTCACTGTCAATCTGTCAAATTAATTACTTACTATTTTAGTCTGTACAACTTCAAAAAAGTAGTTCATAGTAAACATCAGAATTTCCTAGACCATGTCTCGACATTTCTAAAGATTGCAGTAGATAGAAGCATGGAAATATATTTAATTTACTAGCCAATCCTCATGCTAAGCAGCCAGAACCAGTAGGTATTGATAAATCAATTGTAAAAGTGTATTTTTTTTATTAGTAAACTTGTCAGTTAATTATTCCAGAGATAAATCAAGTCATGCTATGTGGTCCCAAGAGCTTCTAACTTCCTTTTTTGTGAAACTACTTTGAATATATGTTCAGACTGACGGCTCACATCAGATTTCTGGAGTTTAGACGGAATTTGGATTAATTTGAAACCCAAAATCCACAGGAGGATTGACAAGCATGTTTTCTTAAAAAAAAAAATCACACCATTCATCTGAGCCAGAAACTGCAAAGACATCAATTATTTGCATATTTTACAATTCAGAACAGTCCTTAAAGGGCCCATGTCATGGCCATTTCCACTGATCATAATTCCATTGTTGAGGTCTACTAGAATAGATTTATACTGTGCATTTTTCCAAACTCACATTGGTTTCTCATACAGCATCTCTGTAAACTACGTGTATTCACTGAATTTCACTCTCTGCCTTTAACGGCACGTTGTAGCTCCAATAGCTCCAGCCCCCACCCTCCCTGTGAGCACAGTGTGCTCTGATTGGTCGGGACGTTGTGAATCGCGCTGAGCTCTGTGGAGGTGTTGTTTCCTTGTTAGCGATCAGAGATGGGGTCGTTACTAAAAAAAAGTAATATATTACATATTACATATTACTTTTTAAAAAAAAGTAATATATTACACTACTTCGTTACTCTCTACATAAAAGTAACTCGTTACTTTACTCGTTACTTTACTCGCAGGGCCGGCCCGCCCCTCCCTACAGGCAGATCACGCAGACTGCTAAAGTTTTAAATGTTCTCTTTAGTTCAGTTTCCATTGTCGCATAAGACTGATCCAGATAGCTCTGACTATGGCTGTCCTCTGTCTCCTGCTATCTCCTGCGCAGTATATCTCTGAACGATGCGATGGTGATTCCACTGTGCAAATGGGCAACATTACCTCTACTATGAAGGATGCTACAAGCCTGTCCATCTCTGCTTTGGTTACCGGTCCTCCAAATTCTAATTTGTGCTGCTTCAGAGTCGGCGGCGGCGTACTCACAACATCCTCACTCTGGGTTCGGGGGTCCTTAGCTATTAGCTTCACCTTAGCATGTGTTCTTTGCAGGTGTTTGTTGAGGTTTGACGTGGTGTTTGCAGCAGTGGATAACAGCTTCTGGCCTGGACACAGTTTGCACCTCACCGTCACATTCCTGTCTATTCTTCGGACGAACTCAAAATAATGGGCATACCTCCACCCCTCGAAAGTTATCGCTGACTCCATGTTTATGCAGCACTGCACGTGGAGATGTGGACGTGCAAGTCGCGCAGATTACGTACATATAAATCTGCGGCGGAAACCCCTCTTGTCTGTCAGTGTGATTATGACTGATTTTATAAAAGTAACGAAGTAACGCGTGTCGGGGCAATGTTAGTAACTGTAGTGTGATTACTGAATTATAAAAGTAACGCGTTACACTACTCCGTTACCGACAAAAGTAATATTATTACAGTAACGCGTTACTTTGCACTAGTTACTTTGTAACGCGTTACACCCAACTCTGTTATCGATACACAGCCAAACACAGCCAAACTCATCCTGAGCAAACACAAAGTCACAGCCGAAGTAAAAACAATAAGTGTGGCTTGATATTGAGTAAGAAAAAGGTTGATAAACGCTGTGAGAATGGGTCTGCAGAGAGAATTTCGCCGCGATCCCAACTGTCTGTTATCAGCCTGCAGCCAGGGAGGAGAAATCAGCTGAGCTGCCTGCTCCCTGCACACAGATGTGTGTGTGAGGAAGTCCGTGGATTGGTCAATTTGGACCAATCAGCGGGGGCTTAACGTAACGGCTCCGCGGACGTAACGTAACGGCTCCACGGATTGGTCCATTTCGTTCCGGGTACGGCTTGACATCATGCCGTACCCGGAACGAAATGGAAGAATCAAATGGACAATGACGTATCTCCGATGAGGCGTTTTGGGGAGGTATTTTCTGTGTTAGAGTTTTACTCGCTACAGGGTGTACTTTGAGGGTTTGTGACTCTGCACACCGTTTACATGCATAAAAACCTTCATAACACACAAGGGGACGGGTAATAACTGGAAAAGCATGACATGGGCCCTTTAAATGAATCATGTGTAATACAGCCTGGCTTCAGGAGATACAACCACAATACGCTACAATCTTAGATAAAAGAGCTAAATCTATCCAAAGAATGTATTGTACAGAAAATAAACAGGGTGCACTAAACGTATTCTTTAAAAAACAATAAATTCAATCCAACAGTCACAGAAAAAATTTAATTAAAACTGATCAAAGAAGACAAGAGAGGTTTGAAGTAAAGGTTGTTGAAATGTCAATAGTTCAAGTAAAGCCTGTGGAGTCCCTGTTTCTTTTTTGTCCAATTATTGTAAAAGGAATGATCAAAGAAACCTTTTAGAGCATTAAAACGATGTAATACTGCACCATAGCAAAGCATTCTCCTTCTTATAGCCATGATTGTGCAGTTTTACAGGCGGTGCAGGACTCATTTACTGCAGTGACAAACGAGGCTGCAGAGTATAATGTGACAGGAGGAGGAAACGCCCTGAAACTCCTTCAGAGGGTTAAAGTCTGGACCACACAGAACATCATGGAGTTTAATCGTAATGTTTGATTTTAAACACATCTGTCCGTCTACATGTTAAACGTTTGTCTCTGTCTCATCTCTCAGAGGACATTTCCAACGCTCACTTTGACCCTCTTTATGCGTTTGGTGCAGTCCCGTTCGGCCATGCGTTACGGCCGTGTTGCAGACCTGATCCTGCAGCAGTCAGCGTTTACGCTCTGAGGTGGCAATGACACACGAGAGCCTGGGAGAGTTTGTTTTACTGAGAGGGAGGGTTCATTTGCTGAGTCAGCACAGAGGAGGGCCGAGCTTCATTTAAATGTGTTGTCTATACAGTCCTCTGTCCTCTTAAAACAACGTACACAGGAACGTAAACCGCTAGTAAGGGACTGATAGTATATAGACAAAATGTACTGACAAATCTCCTCGTGGAATCAACGTATGTATTCAATGTATACCAAATCTATATAGGGTGGAACACTTTTAAGTCTTAAATAACCTAACAATTGGTCTCAATATTCACATAATTGCATAAATAAGGATATAAGTATTAAGTAGAAAACCTCAAAGGAATACGACATGACCAGGTCAGCAGCTTAAACAACTACGCTAGTTAACTCTACACGATAACTAATAACTATGGCATTAATATTATGTTTTTGTTGTAAAAACAGAGCCAAGGGAAGCGGGGTTATATTCGAAGATGAAAACATTCAAGTTTAAAGTTGTCAATTTACAAAAATATATGTACACTCTCAGAATATAAAGTCATATATTTGCGAGAAACAAATAAAAATAAAAACCCAACAAAAAACCATCTCGTATCTCTGAAATGTAAGTTTGGAATTTTATAAGAAAACGTTTCCCGGCTTCTTAATTATTGTATTATTTTAGAAACAATGGTCCTATCACAAAACATCATGCAAACTAGATTACAACCCCCAAAAACATGAAGCATAACATTTATGAAGGACATAAATACATACAGGTTGTTTAAATAAACAGTGTCAGGCTGATAGTATCTATGGGTCAAAGGGGAAATGAACTGACTTCCTGTCTGAGTGCGAACAGAAGTCAGGCTCAGAGCAGATGGACGGTTTTACATTTCGGCCCGACCTGGCACCAGTCGTGTTCTCATTTAAATATTTGTAATTAAAACCAATCAGAGAATGAAGGAGCAGTCAGCCTCGGTGAATAACTCACAGAAAGACTCCAAACAAGCTGATGAAATAACCCTTGACAAAAGTTCCTGTGGAAGTACTGATACAGGGTGTATGCAGGAATCCTGAAGTCAAATGTAATACCTTTTAAGACCTTTTTTCAGACCCTTTCCATACATTTTAAGACCTCATCGCCACTTCGAGTTTTAACAGGTTACATTGGCGACACACTTTACCTCACATTTACTATATACAGTATTGATTGTCCTTCCTCCTTATCTTCCAACCATTTGGACGCAGACTTGCATTTCCCCATAATGATGTTGTTTAACAACCGGCGTAAACGGACTTTCGCGCGCTATCAAGCAGTGAGCGTGCGATGTCCTGTTCAGGTGACGTCAAACCCAACGGGATGCCATAAATAAACTACACAGAATCACACTACACACCTAGGCAATGATTACATTCAGGCAGACTGTAGAATACAACCTCTTTGGACAATTTATATACTTATTGACAACAAGCTACAAAATGATATACCTTGGAAAATCCCGTTTAATACTTTTTAATAGCCTTAATTTTCACTAAATTGATTTATCAACTTTTAATACTTTTTAAGACCCCGCGGACACCCTGTGATATAGAAATGTTATATACAGTATTGTTATATACAGTATTGTCAAGTTAATCATTGTAACTGACTTCAGTCCTGATTATAACCAAATATTATTCATTTTCAGAACTTCACTTTTAAGTGCCACTGTGTTTTTAAGGGGAACATTCATTTTAATGCATTCTTTCTGAAGCAAACCTGGTTATTGGGCAAATACGTGAAAAAACGGCTCAATCTAGTGGGAAATAGTATTATAAACCTACAGTTTTGAAGGCAGGGCTTTAGATTGAAAGCCAGATATAACAGAAAGCTTGTTTTTATGCTGTAATGGCTGTCTGATTCATATCTTAAACGGCACTGTAACTTTTATTCATGTATTTTTTCTTTTAATGTTTCTTTTATTATCTTATCTCCTTTTAAATGCCATTTTCTTAATGTCTTTCATTTTTGTAAAGCACTTTGACTTGCCTTGTATTGAAAGGTGCTATATAAATAAACTTGCCTTGCCTTACACAGTTTAATATAGACTATAAAAGCTGAGATCGTATTCCAAAATAAATAAATAAATCCCACCCTTGTCAAAAAGTTGCCGTCTGCATTAAGTGTTCCTAGTAAGGCAGAAGGTTTTAATGTTCAATCAGTAGGATCCTTCTGATAACTCACTGATCATGGTGGTTCCTCCGGCCAGAGCAGCCTTGGTCCCCTGGTAGAAGTCATCGGCTGACACCATGCCTCGATCCGGCATCTGGAAGCGCGTGTGCACATCGATGCCGCCCGGCATCAACATGCGGCCGTGGGCATCGATGGTTTTCACCCCGCCGGGCACAATGAGGTTTTCCCCAATTTGTCTAAAAAGGAAAGAAAACGTCACAATTTGATTGACACAAATCACAACTTGGACAAGGCTTTTAAATTCTTCACCTGCATTATTAAAAGAAAAATTCACAATAGTAAAGAAATGTAATGTATATGATGAAATGTGAATGATTTAGAAAAAATCTAATTCAGCAAAAGGTAAGTTTATTTATAGAAATCAATAAAGGACAAATGTAAAAAAAACTACTGTACTGTAGAATATTGATTTAATGGATCATTTTTAGGGAAGAGATGGAAACGTGTAAAAAAAAAAAACTACAATTTCAAAAGAAAAGCTACAATATAATTGTTTTTTTCGGATCATTGTCAAGTGTTTGTTGATGTGATACTAATTTCTGCCACAAGAGGCTGGAGACTACATGTTTCATAAATAGGGGGAACAAATTACTTGGAAAGATTATACTGGAAAAACCTCATCTGTTCTTTAGTCATAAACAAAGAAAGACTATTGAGACCTGACTTATAAAATGCATCACCAGATTTTATTTTTCTCACTGGCATTTAAGGGCTTCCATACTCCTTTTGAACCACGTCATACATGTGGATCAATTATAACGTTTTAATTATGATTAAACTAAGATGCGACTTGAATAAAGCAGTACACTCACTTGATGACTCCATCCTCCATGTAGATGTCAGCACAGAAGGACTGGTCATCGTTCACGATCTTCCCTCCTTTGATCAGGAGACGATCACTCTGCAAAACAATAAAGGTGATTAGTTGCTGCACTTTTAACTACATTAAATAAATCATGAGAGAAAAATATATGCTTGTGGGAACTTTTTGTGAAAAATATTTTATGGCAGGATGGGGTTTTATAGAATCCTATAAAAATACACTTATAAAGCCGAGTAACCGATTTGGCTGGATCGGATGCTGGATTAAGTGCATTTGAGGAAAGGCATTAAGGGAAACGTCACATAAAAGGGACGATTGGTCTCGCAATGAAAAATAAATAGATGAAACCTGCCGGATTTTACACAGCAGCCTCCGCTTGGTCTTTTTAGGATGCTTTCTGATAAGGAACACATGGCTTTCAACTGATACTGGGTTTCTTCATCTCCACACACGCACATAATGTGAGGGAGGGATTAAAGAAAGGATGCAGAGGATGGAATAAGACCTGGGGTGGGAGTGGGAGTCTGGCATTGGATCAGCCTGGCAGTCGGTTTTTCCTTTTTATTTGTTGGGTTCATAGCAGGACAAGTGTCTGAATCTACTGAGCAAATCCACAGTAAGTCACAATGAAGTAGGGCTGTGCGATTATGGCAAAAATCATAATCACGATTATTTGGGTCAATAATTGATATCACGATTATTAAATACGATTATTCATTGACTTTGAAAAAATCAATTTATTGAACTTTAAAATAAATACAAATAATTATTTGAACAGTGTCTTTTTAACTGTTGATTTCCCTGAATGTATAATTCAACTGAAAAACCAATACACAAATAAATTAAATAAATGATAAATTTAAATAAATAATATCAAAATAATAAATACCAATAAACAAGATCAACAAATATTTTGGAGCGCACTTCCACAAGCTACTAAACATATATAAATATGATAAATACAAATAAATGAGACCAAAATTAATTAGATCAAATATGTCACAACCTAGCAAAGCAAAATAATTGTTTTTTTCGATTATGTTGTTTTCGTAATTGTGGCAGGCCAAAATCGTAATTGCGATTAAAATACGATTAATTGCACAGCCCTGCAATGAAGTGACGGCTTATGAACCGATTTAGGAGCAGTCTAACACATCTCAATACTATGGACTCTTTTATCTAATAAATAGATCAAATTGAAATGTTTGCACTTTGTGATGTAACATTTTTGTATTTAATGTTAAGTGGACGACCCAGTTATTGGTGTTACAGAATTTTCAAGGGAATTTGTGTCAAGAATATCCTTGTCACAATAATTGTGATTCATGATGTATACAAAAGATAATCCAAATATCCTTAACTCTTAAATTGGCACTAAAACTGAAATCACTTAAAGGTAAGTTAGAGAAACCGGCTCGAGATACACGTTTTGTTATATTCCGTGGAATGCTCTTAACATCCCGATAGCAATGAATATCTGAAGTGCTTTGACAAAAAATCCATAAAAAATGTCATCTGTGGAAGCTGTAGTACTGTAAAAAGCACGACCAATCATTTGAGCCGGCCCGGCTAAAGTAACTGGATGGCCTACCTGCCTGTCAGCCTTCCATCTGTGCACAAACTTATCTCGTGCCCTCATTGGTCATGTGCGCGTTCGTGTGTGTTGGAGGAGGGGCTCTGTGAGGAAGTGGCAGATTTTCTCCGGTTGTGTATTTTCAAATTCTAGCGCACTCAAGCTGGTTTCTCCAAAATTAACTACCCCACCTTTAATCTATCACTGTTAAGAAACATTTTTTTTATTTCATCAAAGATAAGAAATACCTTTTTTAGTGTTAAACAAAAAACATACTCTTAAATAAGGTAATCATAAATCATTGGGTCTTCCTGCCTAAATAACTAAAATAAAAAATAAAAACATTGTGTGGGTCTGTTCTTCCTTACATGACCATTCCTGTATTTTAATTTCTCTAGCATCGCTCCAAAGTTTTATCCAATCACTTGTGTGATGAAATGTACCACCATTAACTTATTGTTATTGTTATCTAATTTGATAGTTACACTACAGTTACACTATTGGGACTTATTAGTGAACAGATTAGTTTAAATCTAGATTAAAAGTGTTGGTGCTTTTGTTCAGAGAGCTTCCACAGCATCACTGCTTTCATTTCCTAATTCCAGCTCTGCTTGAGTAACAAAGTGAGGGATAAAGTATTCACTGTGGCAACAATGAAGACAGGAGCCCCCCTCACCCCCCCTCCCTCCTCATGTGTTCGAGCTGTCACATGAGAGAGCCAATCAGAGCGCAGACTGTGTAATCAATCTTCCATGCCTTTTGCTGTGCCACTTGTGTCTGTGTGGGAGAGGAGGGAGCATGTTCTGCCACCTCCACAGCCTCCCACCAGGAGCCCCTCACCCCCCCCCTCGTCCCTCCTTGTAGTCACCCCCTCAGCTCGGGGTGTCCTCTGTCCACAAAGGGAGTGGCCGCTCTGGTCACAAGGCGTTCAGCGTCCCCGACCAACAATGGCTGCTCTGTTCCTGCCGCTCGCTGAAAGCCTGGCGAGCAGCGAGGGCCCCGGACACAACTGCTGCTGCCCCCCTGTCAGAGCCCCACCCTGCATCTGAACAGCGCACGCGCACGCGCACGCGCACGCGCACGCACGCACGCACGCACACACACACACACACACACACACACACACACACACACACACACACACACACACACACACACACACACACACACACACACACACACACACACACACACACACACACACACACACACACACACACACACACACACACACACACACACACACACACACACACACACACAGCTGAGCACTGCACCACTCTGCTCTGTCAATATTACATTTACTTTATCCAACCCTAACCCTAACGCTCACAACCCTAACCCAAACACTCGGACTAGGATGGTGAATGGACTGCATTTCTACAGCGCTTTTCCAGTTGTTCCACCCGATAAAAAGCTTTACGAATACAAATCAGCATTCAGCCAATAACAACCCCTTATAGACTGTACTTTATAAATACAGAGGCTGCCATACAAGGGGCCATGTGCTCAAGGACACTTACATTGACATACATTTAGACACCATTGACCATGCCATCGGAAGCCATTTGGGGTTAAATTGACTTGTTTGACTTTCATGGACAGAGGATCGAACCAATGGCCTTCCGATTTGTGGATGACCACTTTACCTCCAGAGCCAATGCCACCCCACATCACGCTCGTAGACTTCCCCCCAAAACCGACACTGTCTTCATTGACAAGTACTGTTTTGGCAGTCATTTAAAAAAGGGAAATGTCGATAAACAAAATGTATCTTTTCTCATTTGATTTAGTTCTTAATATAGCAACCAGACATCCACATGGATAGCATTCATGTCTAATAAAGTCATATCCTCTTTACTATTGGAGGAAAAAAAGTCTTCTTAAACTTCTTTGGCAGCTACACACTCATTACTTACAATGAGGGAGGAAGACCCACACAAACACAGTACACAATCTTACACACACACACACACACACACACTTGAGGACTTCAGCTGACTGCAGCAGGTCTGGAAAATGCTTTGCAGTTGTTATCTGAAGGTGTGGCGAGCTTTGACAGCACTGATGGGACTTATGTAAATAGAGCATGTGGTAATCTTCGATCTATGTGCTGATGGAGCGCCTGGCCTCGCTCCAAACCAGCGCTGGACAGCTTCCACCCCGACAACGGCTCTGAAATATGCCGTTACATCATGTGCCTCATCATGACTGTCATTATCACATTACTGACGGAAGTTCGCCAAGAGGCTTTCGTTCTCGAGTCTGGCACTCAAACAGACCCAAAGCTGCGGGAGCCGAGATTGAGAGGCGAAATGATCTTTTCAGAAACAACTACTCATTATTGATGTATCAAAAAGGGCTAGTGTTTGTTACTCAGTGCACAAAAGGCAGATGGTTTGAGGAGTCTTACTAAAAAGGTGTTTTTTTCTCTTAAAAGGGTTCAGGTTTTTAAGCTGCGGAACATTAAAAAGATGGGAAATTAGCAGAACAATCGCCTGCCCTGAATACCGTTTGCATAATCCTCTGATTGTTTTGGAGCGTCTGATTGTACTGGCTCGGAGCCAAACATGACAGCGACCTTTCCTTCATGGGAACCTCTCACCGCCTCACAAACAGGATATGGACAAAGCTCAATGGACTCACTGTTGCTGAACTGCTGCGTTTTCATTCCACACTACAATATGTAACCGTCCTGCTAATATAAATGTCACCAGGGGTAGTGTACAATGTTTATTCATTGATTTTTAAATATAGGCAATGACTTTCTTTAACCCCACATCTGGTTCTCCAACACTGGGGGCAGGGGGCACTTGACTTGATTTGTTTAATGTGGAAACAATAAGGTGTGCTCACATGATCCAAACATTCAGGTGACCCATTACATACTGTATAACCATGTGACCTATTACTAATGTGAAAATATTGATTATAGCAGCTTAAAACTAACCTATTTAAATAGGTCACTCTAATGCAAATGGCTGCAAAGAATAAACATAATAGACTGCTGATAATGGACTCTGGGAATATTGATTAATTCTCTATTACAGATCAATCTGTTGTATCATGTGACTCATGTTACAATACATACATATTTTGTATAAACAAAGCCTTACAGGTAAAAACTTAAACGCCTCGGAGGAGTTTTATTAAATCAGAATGAAATCCATATGCACACTATGAACAATTCCTGCTAGTGTCAGACGTATCCCGGCAACGTGGTGTGTTGTTATACAAATGGAAAATATCCTGGGAACATTTGAGCAGTCAGGTGGAGCGCGCTGCCAGGTCAGACATTCAGCACCGTGATTTATGAGGCATGGATTATTTGAAATTCAGCCTGCTGCCAAAATGATATCCACGCATGTTCAGACAACTGCTTCGAAAACACATGTTCACTTTTTTATTGTTTTTTTATTTAAACGGAAGACGGGCTCTTACAGAATAACCAGCCCAACAGGTATGAAACTAACTCCCAGAGGATGAATGTGTAACTTAACACCTT